CAGTATTGAGCTATAGCAAGAAAACAACATTAGATAAGATACTGGACAATAATAATTAATGACAATAAAACTTTGATTGTATCAATTTATTAGTTAGCTTTAGTTATTATCTAACTTTAACTGCTGTAAGTTATTATGTAATTTCATTTTAGGAAAAATTTAGTTGACCTTTCAATGATTGCCCAAATTATTGTTTTTATTATTATTCATTTTATTTTTATTATTTTTATTTATTAATTTTTTATTTTTATCTAATTATTTATTTATTTATTTATTATTATTATTATTATTTTGAATATTCCAAGTAATTTACCAAAATTATAGGTGACAATTCTTTAACGCATTGAAAGTATAATTTTGGAACAGATGAAAATAATTTTCAATAACTTACAAAAAAGGTTTCTTCAGATCAAAGAAATAAGACAAAATAAAGATGTGATAGAAAGTTTTAATAGCAATACTCGTGTTTTTTAATACAAACCTATTTAAGGAAGCTTCAAATAAGTTGCTTTGTAAGACTGAATATCTAACAGAGGAATATGCTATTACATGTGCATGTATAGTGGCAAGAAAACATATATATGCTCGTATAGTACAAGAAACATATATATGTCTATATAATGGCAAGAAAGCATACATATGCCTGTATAATGGCAAGAAAGCATACATATCCCTATATAATGGCAAGAAAGCATACATATCCCTATATAATGGCAAGTAACCATATATATGCCTGTATAATGGCAAAAAAACATACATAGGCCTATATAATGGCAGGAAAACATACGTATGTGTAATGGCAAGAAAAGATACATATGTCTGTATAATGACAAGACAAATATATGACTGTATAATGGCAAAAAAAAAAAAAAACATACATATGTTTGTATGTTTGTATAACGGCAAGAAAACATACATATGTCTGTATAATGACAAGAAAACATTTATATCCCTGTATAATGGCAAGAAAACATATATATCCCTGTATAATGGCAAAAAAAAAAAAAAAAAGCATACATATGCTTATATGCTTGTATAACGGCAAGAAAACATATATATGCCTATATAATGGCAAAAAAAACCACATACATATGATTGTATAATGGCACGAAAACATATATATGTTTGTTGTTGTTTCTTATCCCACTTGGCTGGCCAAGGCCATGAGCCCATACGTACTCATTATTGAAGGGGAAGGAAGCAGCTTCTGTTGTGATGGAGCACCCGTAGGTAGATGTCTGACTTTGGCTCCGTGACGCTCTTACAGTCATAGGAGACCGGGACCTACGGTTTAAAGTGGATTCCGAACCCCTACAAACATCCATGGCACCGCCGTTATTCGAACCCGAAACCTGTGGCACCGAGCGCTAGACACTCGGCCATTCAGGTCCCAAATGTGTGAACTCCAACGACACGCGGTGTTCCCAGGTGGTCACCCACCCAAGTACTGACCGCGCCCAATGATGCTTGACTTCGGTGATCTAACGAGAACCGATATATTCAGCATGGTATGGCCGTTGGCCTGTATAATGACAATAAGCACATATATGCCCATACATATGCCTGTATAAAGGCAAGAAAACATACATAGGCCTGTATAATGGCAAGAAAGAATTGCAATGTTTTTATTTTTCCTCTGTTTAATAGAGACTTAAAAGATTTTAAGATAGAACTTAAAACGAGATTTTGAATCTACTAACCTAAGAGAGGAATATCTTTTCCTGCTGGTACTGTCACGGCTAAGTACTGCAGAAGCAGGGACATTAAAATTATATTTGAACAACCAATCAGGAAGCGTGATCCATCGTTAGGCGATAACCAGAAACCTGGAAATGATCATTGATATGTTTTGATATAGTGATTTACAGCATTATATGTAGTATAATATTTGGAATTTTAAGAACAAGTATTAAAATAGTACTTATTTAAGGATATAATAACATATTTTTTAGCTTAATTCATTTTATTTATACTTGTATTTCCAAGGAACTGGAAAATAAATGAAATATAATAATTTTAAAATGACAAAAAATTTGTTATAATCGAATATTATTTCTGTATAATTAGCTTTTGTAAGTCCAAAATGCATGCTCTGCAGTCTTGGAGAGGACATGGATTCATCCCACCTTCCTGTCTGCCCTGCACTTGTTTCCTCTACTGTGTAGGGTCGTTACTGGGACGCTAGGGCCCTTATGGGCTAAACATGTCACTATATGATTTCATTCGATTCTCGTTGTTGTTGATTTCATATTCTTTGTCTTCTTTTTATTTTATTGCTTATTGTAAATAAAGAAAATATCGCTGAAGAACATAGATAAATTTATACATTGTTAATATAAGTTCTTAATTATAATGGTACAAGTTGTTTAACCTCTGCTAAAACTATGATAACCTTTCTTCCTTGATGAGTATGATTTTAACTCAGACGAACACGTCACTATCACAGCTTTGCCCCTCAGTAGATTATTGTCAAAAAACAACTGTTGTCATTTATTTCAAGTTTTCATGAGGTAAAACTGTACTATTTTTGTAATAACTAATTTTTTAATTAGAAATATTATACTACTGTGCCCAAAAAAGTAAGACCAATTTTTTTTTTCAAAATCTCTTTGTTTATTCTTCTAAATTTATTTCATCGATTAAGTCACGAAACGATATGAGTCTCCTTTTTTGCGAAGAAGTCACGAAGAATCAATGCAAGGTGAGCTGGCGCATTCAGTGTTTTCGATACCAATCGAGATATGAAGCGTTTGAGACTCAAAACATCTTTTAAAATGGAATTTTGAAATTCCAACATCATCAGCAAGGTCTCTAATTGTAAATCGACGGTTTGCAAGCACCAAATCTTTAATTTTTTGGACGTGAGATTCGTCGGTTGAGGTTGGTGGTAGACCAGAGGGCTCTTCGTCTTCAGCGCGTTCTCTGCCTTCTTTTAACTGCTTATACCACTTGTAAACATTTCTTTCCGATATAGGAATGCTCACCGAATGCCTTCTGCAGCATTCTATACGTTTCCACAAACATAATTTAATGAAAGTTCTTTACTCAATTAATTCAGACATTTCAAAAATCGCCGAAATCAGTTTTAGCGTCCCACAAAGCCAAGCGTAACTCAAACACTAATGAATATTTTGACGTCAAATTTCACACAGATGTCAAGGGCAGTGCCAGCAACCTAAAAAAGAAAAAAAAATTAAATTCCATAAGCCCCGGGAATTTTATATTGAAAATTGGTCTTATTTTTTTCACACAGTAGTATTATAGGTATTGTTGCAAAATGGGTTAATTGAGAGTGAAAATTTGGTAATGAAAATTAGGATGAAGATAATAATTACCAGCAATGGACGACAGGAAAACAATCAAAGTAGGCACCACGCACACATATCTGATAATCGTGGAGGTTCTTTGAAGGAATATATCCACTTGGACAAAATAATTTATGTTGCCCGTTTTGTTTGAAAACTTATTTCTGTGCGTAAGGTTGGTTAGCATCCATTCAGTACCAATAACAGATCTTTTCTTGGAAGGAATACTGCAAGATACTAACATTAACGTTAATGATATTTAACAAAAAATGCATTATTTAAGCAAAACAAATAATATATAAAAAAAAAAATTTTAAGTCAATTCCTATTCTTTTTTCATTATAGTGCAGAAAGTCCTTTATAAATAATTTTCATTCATTTTTTTAAGTTTATCAGGCGCCATCTATTGGTAGATATGGGCAACTTAAATCTAAAAAGAACTAAAATTAATTCATTAAATTTAATTACTGTATTAATATTTGAAAAAAACTGTATTAACATCAAGTGTCATCCCTTACAAGTTCAAAAAAAAAGGTATTTGAATTTGAGTGGATGAATAAAAAGTATTTTATGAACGATTGAAAATTTGAACAAGATATATATAGGGAGAGTGTGAGCTAATAGAAGGAATTGAAAAATTAAAAGTTTTTCTGTGATACCAATATTACACTATAATAATTTTTTGAGAAGAATTTCAATTGATAGATAAAAGATTAAAAAAATCTATTATTTGGGAAAATTACTTAATTATATATTTGTGCTCTCTAAAAATGGTTATTATTATAAATTATTTTTTTACTTTAAAACTTATAATTTTAATTAGTTTAAAAAGAACTAGAGGGAATATTTTGTATGGTTTTTGATTTGGTACAACTTAAAATATAATTCACTCGGAAGGAAAAATTTAATTCATAGTATTATATCTTTTAAGTTATATAAAAAAGTATTACAGTAGAAATACAGTTGTTACAAAGTGAAGTTGCGTTGACCTCAAAAGTGAAGATAACTAACAAAAGATAGCTATCAAAAGGTAGTGTGTTTACAATTTTACACGAAAATTTGAGCATGCTTAAGTTGCTTTAGAAGTGGGTGTCACGTTTGCTCACACCGGACCGAAAACAACAAAACAACAATGATTTAGAGAGCTAATTGAAACTGTTCAAGCGAGATAAAAAGGATTTCTTTACTTGTTTGTTGTTTCTTATCCCACTTGGCAAACATTTCTGGGCCAACCCCACGAGCCCATTGTACTCATAATTGAAGGGGAAGGAAGCAGCTTCTGTTGTGATGGAGCACCCGTAGGTAGAAGCATGACTTTCGCTCCGTGACACTCTTACAGTCATATGAGACAGGGACCTACGACTTAAAGTGGATTCTGAACCACTACAAACATCCATACACCGCTGGGACTCGAATCCCAAACCTGTGGTACCATTTATTTTATTTTATCTTATTTTTATTTTATTATTTTTTACCTTGTTTTACTTTAATTCTTGCTAATTGCATTTTATATACTTTATTTTATGTCCTTTTTGTCTCATATATGCATAAATTAGCTATGTCTCATATATCATAAATTACTTAAAATATACCGCTTGTATTTTTGTGTATGTCTGTATTTTTTCAATAAAGTTTTATGGGATTTTTGCACACTTTCATAGGCCATTCAGACCCCAATTTTGAATGCCTACGGCACGCAGTACTGACCGCGCCCGGTGAGGCTTGACTTCGGTGATCGAACGAGAACTGGTATATTCAGCATGGTATGGCCGTTGGCAAAAGAATTTCTTGCTTCGGTATGTGACAATGGATGGGACATGGATCCCCTACTACACACCTGAATCAAAATGATCATCAGCTGAGTGGACAGCAGACGGTAAAATTTGTCCAAAGCGACCAAAAACTCAAACATCAGCAGCCAAGGTTATGAAATCCGCATTTTGGGAGACGCATGGTATTTTGTTCAAAGACTATTTTGAGAAAAATAAAACTATCAATAGCGAATATAGGATCGATTGAGTGTAGAAATTAAGAGTGCTGTTTCCCCGAGACAATGCCCCGTGTCACAATCGATGAAAACTGTTGTTCAGTTGAATTAATTACGCATCGAATTGCTTTCCCATCCGCCTTACTCTACCGATCTAGCCCCCAGCGACTATTGCCTTTTTGCAGACATCAAAAAGATGCTCCAGGGAACGAAATTTGGCTCAAATGAAGAAGTGATTAGCCATTATTTGTGAGAGCAAAGACAAATAATGGCATCGAAAAGTTAGAGGACAATTGGAATGAATATATCACTCTTGAAGGGCAATATGTTGACGAACAACGTCGAATTTCTAAAAAAAATAAATTTGTTTTTCTTTTCCAGACCGGTGAGTGATATGTTATACATATTCAATGAAACATTTTAAGAACTGATGAAAATGCATTGCCTGGTTTCAGTTAACAGCGTTCAACATCATCGGTGTTTGTACAATATATTTAAATTCAACATACCAATCAATAATAGTTTGTTTCTGTGGTGCAAAATCTCCATAACGCTTATCAAGTCACTGTTTGTTTTTTGATGAGGAAAAATACTGTTGAAGCCAATGTTTAGTCAACACACGAAATTTTTTTTTTATCCATTGTTTTGAAAATTACAAAACTGGGGTGTCACTAAAACCCCTGTAACTTGTAAACTAATTAACAGAATGTCATGGAATTTTGACACGCATAGTTTGAAGGATACTACTATCCATAAATTATATAGGTCTCTCAACAGTGTTGGCATATGTCGGTCAGACCGGAGACATATTGAGGGATGTATTATATATGATTTTCATCTATTTTATTTTTTTTTTAGTTTAAGATAGCCGGTTTGGCGTCTTCGAAGGTCTAGTTGACTAACTAGCAGGCTAAACCAATAAGTGTATCATTATGTTCTTAAACATAGAGGGAAATGGGAATTAAATGAAAAAGGACACCAATATGTGTTTCGTAAATATTACAATAAAACGAATTGATTGAATTGAAGATGTGGAAAAGGGAATTATTAATTACCCTCTCTTTACCGCAAGGAGCAGTAATCATACAATTTATGCTAAAATCGGCTATACCATGTAAAGTCTATGGATTTTTTTCCTCTATTAAATCATGTAAATTCTGTGTAATTGTAAATAAATTTTCGTTTACAATTCTATCTGTTCATTACTTTTCTTCTATTTCGTCATAGATTTAAGTAAATTTTAGATGAATTCATTTTTTAAACAAGAAATCCGCTTAGTCTGAATTATCAGTAAGTTGATGGCAACACCGATTATGGATTATCAACACACTGTACTTGTATTATTTGTACGTAAATACTATAATCATTTATTTTCATAATCGTCATTTACCTCTAAGAACTCTATTTTCGCATTAAAGCCAACCCCTTTCTTTAAAATGTTATCAGAAGCCAATTCTACAAGTGACGTAGAATTCATTTGTGATAGCAGATAATCAGTGTCATGGATAATGAGATCTCATGAAATTAGCAATTGTCTGTTCGACCTTCATAGGTTGAAACAATTTCAGATAGAATATGGACTACACCATGAATTGTTGCATCGTGATTGGTGATAGACCATGGGCTGAGAAAGTCTCGACTCCAATGAGAAGTGAGGAATGCCGCTCTTTGGCGGATTGGCAACACCGATTATGGATTATCAACACACGGTACTTGTATTATTTGTACGTAAATACTATAATCATTTATTTTCATAATCGTCATTTAACTCTAAGAACTCTATTTTCGCATTAAAGCCAACCCCTTTCTTTAAAATGTTATCAGAAGCCAATTCTACAAGTGACGTAGAATTCATTTGTGATAGCAGATAATCAGTGTCATGGATAATGAGACCTCATGAAATTAGCAATTGTCTGTTCGACCTTCATAGGTTGAAACAATTACAGATAGAATATGGACTACACCATGAATTGTTGCATCGTGATTGGTGATAGACCATGGGCTGAGAAAGTCTCGACTCCAATGAGAAGTGAGGAAAGCCGCCCTTTGGCGGATTGGCGACACCGGTTATGGATTATCAACATATTGTACTTGTATTATGCGTACATAAATACTTTAATCGCTTTCTTCCATAGTCACCATTCAACTCTAAGAACTTTATATTTCGAGATAGGCTTCCTAATTACTTGCGCAAATAAAGCACCCCTCTGTCCTGACATCAGGCATCGACCTGATGGCCAATTGGCTAGCGCTCTGGCCTTTGGTACAACTAGCTTCCGGTTAGAATCATGGCAGTGGCATGGATGTTTGTGACTGGTTCGGAATCCACGTTAAATTGTAGTAAATTAGCTTAATGTGTGCAAAAAATTACCGTAGAGCCACAAACCAAATCACATCAGACAGAATTTCCTTTTTTACATTAAACGTTATATGTTTCTTTCATACGCAATACATTATTGAACTGACAATTACATATATATCATGTGTAAAAAAAAGTAGTTGTTTTCCTTTGTGCTAACATGTTTTGACGAGTGCACTACTAAAGTAATTGCATTTTTAACTATTTGGCCCATCTATCATATTCTGTACAAAATAAATAATACGATACTACAAATAATAAAAAAAAAGGCTTCCTAATTATTTTCATATTTCGAAAACAATTAGGAAGCTTATCTCGAAATATAAAAGTTCTTAAAATTGAATGCTGACTATAGATTGGTCAGGTTTGCCGCTCTGGTGTCATCTTGTGCACACGACGGCTAAACATGTCGGGACCTACATTTTAAAGTGGATTCCGAACAAATCACAAGCATCCATGCCACTCCATGATTCGACCAGAAGCCAGCGATACCAAAGATCAGAGCGGCCACCAGACCGTTGGCGACTATCAAAGAAAATGATTAAAGTATTTATTTAAAAATAATACAAGTGCAGTGTGTTAACATTCCATAATCGGTGTAGTCAATCCGTCAAGAGGGGGAGTCAACTTCCCTCACTTCTCATTGGAGTCGACACTTTCTCAGCCTATGATTTATCACAAATCACGATGCAACAACTCACGGCGTAGTCCATATTCCAACTGTAATTGTTTCATATTATTGGTTTTAAATGTTCAGTCACTCACTTTAACGTTCGTAAAATGATCTGCGATCCTCTGTGCGTCCATGCCCCAAACAACATGGAGCAGTTGTGGCTATCGAAGGGGTAGTGCCTGTACTTGGCACTGCACGGGATATCGAAAGCAGTGGGAGGATACCACTTCATAGTACCATTGCTATACACTTGCACGGGCAAGATGTCTTCTGTATCGTAGATGTCAGTCTTGGCCACGCTGAAATGAAAGACAATTCATTAATAGCAAGATTCCTCGAGTTTTATATTCCTCTATCAATAAGATTCATTAAAAATTTTTTAAAAATAATTGAAACCTTCGATCTTGCGAGGACATGAGATTTCTTTTATTGAATATTTTGCTGGTAGTAGATTTGTAAATGCATAAGAACCATGAGTGGTATCTCAAATTAAGGAAATAATTAAAGAAAGCTGTTACTGAGATCTAGATCAGAGGTGGCCAACCCAAATGATCTTGCGGGTCACTTTGGAAATGCATCCTAACTCCGCGGGCAGCATATAAAATTATATATCACCCTATTAGATTTAGACCCACTATAGACATTTTTTTGGAGGGAAAAATTGAAACATAAGTTATTATTTTTGTGTTTACTGTTATTCTTACATGCAAACATTGATAAAATAATAATAATGATGCTAAACCCATATTGTAAAGAAATATATAACACTAAAAATGACGTATAGAAATATATAAATATAAATTAAATGAAAAAAATGGAATCATTTAAAAATATTTATTTTACTAGTGCGATATGTTCCTAAAAAGATTACGATTTACCATTACCTAAAAAAAGATTGATTGCCATGAATCAAGATGTCTTTTGTTTTAACCGAACTGAACCATGGAAAAAATAAAACCAAGTGAAAGATAATACGAAAGATATAATACCTAAAAGGTAATATTAATACCTAAAAAGAGAATGAATGTCGGGATTTCTTGCATTGCTGAAGCCAACCTACCGATTGAAATATAATATCGAAGGAAAGATAATGTTATTATCTAAAAGCGAATGAATGTCATAAATTCAAATTTATTTTGTATTTAACTGAACCATAATATCGAGGGAATATATCATTATTACTTAAAAAGATATTAAATGTCTGGAATCCAAACGTCTTCCACTTAAACTGAACTAATGAGTGAAAGTATGTAATTTTGTAACTTAATTAGTGGAATTAATTTTTTTACATAGAAATTCTATAAAAAAGTCGCTTGACACGGTGTAAGTAAAATTTTATACATATCAAATACTAAAAACTAATTTGTTTGCATTTTTTCTGTATGAATTTTTAAAATGTTTATATTATTTATAATGCTATTCATTGTATTTCTAAACTTCATTAATTTCTTATTAAATACTCTACATTTTTAGAACCTTCGAATAACAGACTGAATAAAAGTTCACATTTTACGAAAAGGATAATGTTATTACCTAAAAATGGAATGAATGTCTGGAATCCAGATGTAGTTTGGCTTTAACCGGACCATGGAGATGCCACTGTAACTGGCAGGATCCCACTGTAAATGTTCATCGGTCCATTTCTAAAAAACACAAAAAAGATTCATGAAACACTTTATCAGAGTAATAATTTTTCAATATGTGTTTTGTGTTTGTATTTGCTGCATTCTTGAAAAATTTATAACATTATAATT